CTTTAAGACTTCAAAAAAATAAATTGTTAAGGGTTGAACAATCTCTATCTGAGTACATCAACAGAGACCTGACAGATAGAACAGTAATGCAGATCGCTTGTACTCTCTTACAGAAACATTGGTTTTAGTCTTCTATTTTATTACTTTAACCGTAATATTCTTGGGAATTTTTGATTAAATATTTCTCTTATGTTACTGAATCATCACACAGTAGACCAGCTTTTGCTGAAATGATTTAGAGATCATTTAGTTTGCTCATGTTCATTTAATCAGTGACGTGCCTGTAGAATTGCATGGCTTGAGAAGCAGATGTGGTTCAGCTGCAGACTTCTGTGTTTAAGTGGTTGATTTAACATATTTTTGTAGGTCGGATCATTTGGTGTGGACCGAATCTCATTACAGCTTGTTGCAGGTATTAATAATCTCTGACCCTGTGCATCCTAAACAATCACCAAGAAAAGTAATTCGCAAAAACATTCAGCATAATAATATCATTATCAGCGAAGAAGAAAAATGTTCAGGTCCGACAGGGAACAGTTGATAGTTACGTGTAGAAAAAATAGGATTAGGAGGATCAAGCAAGTCAGTGCCACAGGGAGGAAACTGAGAATCATAGATTAGAAAATCATACACATTTGTTTATCCACAGTGGTTATGGTTTAGTTAATTAAGACTAAATAATATGATTTTAAAAAATTTTCGCCTCTGCCAGCTAGTAGAGTCATGCATTTTTTTGTCCAGACTCCTATTAGGTCACTGTGACCTTTGATCACTGAAATCAGTTAATCTGTGTCCAAATGACAACTGGTCAAAATGTGAAGAAATATCCTAAATGCAGACTTGAGATATCACGTTTAAGAGGCCAGAAACACTTTTTGTAAGGTCCCCATGAAGTCTGACCTTTTACCATCAAAATATACAGTAATTATTTAATTCCAAAGTCTAAGTGAACAGGCGTTCTTAACACAATGTGTTCTCAAGGGGTTTTGGGAGGTTTATCCTTGAGTTAAAGTGAGAGGTTGTGCCAAACTTGAAGAAATTCACTCAAGGATTGAGATACAGTGTTCACAAGAATGGGATGGATGGACAACCTGAAAACAAAGCAGCATAAAAATGGTACTAAGTGGTCACATTACTAAACAGATCTGTGATTATTGATTTGACACTGGTACATTTGTGCTGTAGAGTGTGAATTAAAAGAGTTTAATCTGCAATTTTTCACTGGTGCATGAAAAGCCACTAAAACTGTGTATGTTAATTTCAAACACACACATCAGAGTGTATTTATCCTCTGCACAACAAACCAGTCAAATGTCTTCACCATGAGGCACATGTGATTTTCTTTAGACTTCTAATAATAGCAGCTGTTTGGTCTCTGGTCCATGAGCGGCGTAAATGAGGACCTGCATTTACAGCCATTTATGTCAAATCAGTCTTCTTTGTGCACCCATCAAACCTGTCCTAGAGTTAAATATCATGGCACTCTTTATCCATAATGGAAGTAAATCACAGTATATATGAAGAACCGGAGAGAAATGTACAGACTTGTACATTTTTACATTAACTCTCCAATAAAGTGTAATACAAATCATAAGAAGATGTGCGTGTTAACAGTGCAAAATGAAAACAACGTACAACAGCACTTACAAAGCCTTCTTATTAAGATATGTTCTGTCTAGATACTCCCACTGCTGTGCACAAAGGAAAGTGGAGCATTAAGAAAAGTGGTTGAAAATGCATAACAGAATTTCTGTTTACTTCATTCATTAATTTCTTTGACACTAACTGTAAAAACAGTATGTTATAGATTAGTGTACAGGTGGTACTGTATACCAATATTTAAAAATGAATATGTTGTGCTGCACAAATGTCTTTTTTTAAGAATAACAGTTGTAAGTCTTGTCTGACTCATTTAATATATGTAGCAATAAAATTAAAATAATGTAATAAAAGGTCTCAAATGTAATGTAATTCTCCTGAAGCCATTTTCAGCTATGAACTATGGGTCTTGACATTTTTCCTTTCACTTATGAAGAACACAGCAGGAAATTGTTCGGGTCAGAAACATTTACAACGACAAGAACATTTCTGGAACATGCAGGTGAGGGGCAGATCAATAACAGGCTCATTTTATATTATCTAATTGACTGTGAATGATTTGCCTGTTTCACCATTTTGCTCCTTTGCTGTAATTTGTGTTCAATCCCATGCAATACCTTTGTTATTGAGTCCTTATACCTCGCTCAGTGAATAACACCAACGCTTCATAAACATCCAGACTCCTTGTTGTCATGTTTTTTGCTGCTTATTGATGATCACAGCGAAATTCAGTCACAATTTGCCAAAACACACACTGGAAGATCTTGCAAATCGGATAACTCAGTCTACCAATGAAGATCCAGTAAAATGATACACCTGCTACTGTACTTTGAGGAGGTATTAGAGTTGAAAACAACTGTTTCCAAAGACAAGAATGAACAGCCGTGCTTCAACTCCTGAGGTAACAGTAATAAATCACAGTTAGACAACAACACATTTGCAGCGACAACAGGATTTGTGGCAGGTAGATATCCACCGTGTGCTCTCTGTTGACTACTCTTATAAGACTTAAAATGTGAGGAGTGTTTGGTGCTGATAACATGTTAGTTTGTATGCCTCCGCGCCGGGGATACATTCTCAGGTTGTCAGCACGATATCGCAAAAACTCCTCCAGGGAATTTCTTAAAATTGGGTTCATACTGCATTTAGATAATCCTGAATAACAGCTAATTTCATATGAATGCAATCTTTACCTGCGGACAACCAAAGCTGACTCAAACAACAGTGTACAGATCCTGTATATTCACATGTACAGTCTGTTTAAAGAAATTAGGCTTGCTGTGACCTCACGAAGCACATTTTTTGCATTGTGAACACGATATCTCAAGAATGACGGGGACATTTTCTCGAATTAGGTACAAACGTTCACTTGGACTCAAGGATGAACTGATTAGAACTTGGTGGTGGAGGGTCAAAGGTCAAGCAAACCGTGACCTCACAAAACACTTTTTTGGTCTTGGGAACGCAAAAGCTCAGAAACACCTTGAGGCATTTTCTTCAAATTTGGTACAAAGGTTCCGTTGGACTCATGGATGAAGTGATCAGAATTTGGTGGTAAAAGGTCAAATTCATGGTGACTTCATGTTCTTGTGAACGTGATATATATTGGGAACACTCATAGGGAATTTCATCACACTGGCACAAAAATTCAATTGGACTCATGAGGTCTGATCAGAATTTGGAGGACTGTTTTCTGGTTTGTATTTAACACACTACCTACAACAAGCTCTGACTCAAAATGTTTTTCCATGACATGGTTTTCTTCCCAAGGTCTCGATATATAAGTTTTTTCAAATGATTCAGGGAACTCAGTCACACACAATATTAGGTTTCCCTTTTTTTGTGAATTCCATGCTTGGCTGGAAGCTTTGTTGCAGTTGGACAGTTGGATATTCTGTGCAATGAAAAAACATCCTTACATAGCACACACCATTGAAAAGAATGAGCAGCAGTGCCATTGTCGTGTAGTTACAGGTATATGCACAGTTAGCAGCGTGTAGAATTAGGAGCTGAGTCGGCATCATTTGGATTGAAGGATTAAAACAGAAGGAATAGTATGATTTAGTTTTTTGAGTAGGCGCAGACATTTATTTTGGAAGAGATTTATTTACTAAAATTTTTCTGGTGAAGAATATGTTGCATTCATCATCGAAGACACCCACAGTTTTGGAACCTAAGTGGATATTTTTTTGCCACCTGTGAATAAAAAATCTATTTAATGGGCTCCAAGCATCCCTCCATTAACATGTAAATGGACGAGTGTTTGGTAGAAAAACAGTGCGTCTCCGATAAACAGAGGCTTTACTAACTGTCAATGACAAATTCATGTTCACTGCATAACAACATAGTATCACACCACTAAGCTATATGATCTTCTGTAACAGAGGAGCATCACTGCACCATCTCCTGAGAGTCGACAAACCTGACGGCGGTCCAGTGCGATGGCCGTCAGTGTGAGAGTGGAGACGTGCAGGGAGCAGTACTGCACAAAGCGGCTGATGTGACACATAGTCCTCCCAAACACCCAGGTGCTGTTCACGAACCGGACCTGGGGGAAAACACACACACACACACACACACACACACACACACACACACAGAAAGAGAGAGGGAGCTCAGGTCATTTAAATCTTTCAAATTCCAGATCCCATCCATCCATCCTCTAAATTGTCTATCTTTTGAAAATGGTCAAGTCGAGGCGATGTGACGACTGATTCTATAATCACCACTAAAGCACAGATCAAACATCCATGATCAAATACCTGTGAAGTCTTTAAATCAATATTTAATTCACTATGGGGAAATACTTGTAAAGCTTTTGTTTCAAAGAAAGCCATGAACCCAGGGAAAAAAAGGATAAGGAAATAGATAGATATCTACAATGGTATTCACCAGATTATTTCTCTGTTGGGTGGGGGGGGCTAATGACTCCAATAGCAATTCTGGGATGGTATGGTACAAAGTGTACGTTTCTGAAGGGTGTAATAAAAAAAAGGGGAGTAAGCTGCAAAGTAAAAAAGGTCAATCTTTCCCCTATGAAAGATATTTGTATTATGTTATGATTAAAGTGTTCTATTTAAGGTATTTTTTAATGATTTAAAGTATATCCACAAGTAATATGTTCTGAAAGTTTGAATCTTTTTTTCTTTAGTCTGTGCTGCCTCTGCATTAGAAGGAGTAAACAACACACACACTTTACATATATAAAGTCATGTGTATATATACATATATATATATATATATATATATATATATAATGTTTATTCCACATGTGGGTGAAGGCTGGTCTTACCAGGGTGAAGGGTGTGTTGAGGACGGTGATGAAGATGTCAGCCACTGCCAGGTTCATGATGAACAAGCTGGTGGCGGACTGGGCGCGCTTGTTTTTCACCAGCACATGGCACACCAGGATGTTCCCGAACAGGGACACCACGATGATGAGGGAGTAGGCGGCCACCAGCAGCACCTTTACACCGCCCTCCTGCGACTCCCCGCCGCGGCTCCTCTTACTGGCCAGGGAGCGCCAGTCCTCCAGCAGCCCCTCGTCAAAATCCAGGAGGAAGAAGCCGGAGGTCCGGTTCTCCAGCTGAGCCACCGACACGTTGAGGAAATTCTCCCTGGAGGAAAACATCCCCCCCGCCACAAGTGAGGAGTCGTTGAGGGTCTGTCCCGCAGCTGCTGCTCTGCCAGAGCTGCCAATAACCCAGAGGAGCAGAGAGAGGTGCACACACACAGCTGGCATGTTGTCTCCTCTTCTTCTTCTTCTTCTTCTTCTTCTGTGAACTAGTGATGAAGATAACGATGCCACTGAAGAGATGCGGAGCCGCTGGAGCAACAAGTTGCGTGATGCGACTCAGCAGCGCTGACTGCTGCTTTTAAACCAGTGTGTGCGTGAGCGTGCGTGGCCACAGAGACTGCAGTGATCTCCAGTTTCCACTCTTACTGATTTGCAGCAGTAAAACTTTATCTCACAGGTCAGAGCAGAGTGGTGTGTTGTTTGTGCGTTGTTTGTGTGTTGTTTGTGTGTTGTTTGGTGCATCGTCTGTTCCTCCACGAGAATCTGCATGAATTCAAACATCCTTTAAAACATGGAGGAACCTCTCTCGTGTGAATCCACAAATTCAACTCTTGTTTGTGGTTTTTGACCAAACAACCAAATGGATGACCATCATTTACCTCATGTTTTGATTTGTCACTGTGAGGACAATAAATGCCCCTGCAGTAGTAAAAATCCATTTATAAATGTTGCCAATTAATTATATATTTTAATGAGAAATAAAAAGATTAATTACAAAAAGAAAAGATATGAAATATTAAGCCTTCAATGAATAGATCTAATTATAAAGGAGCCACAAAAAAACGAATTATTATTATTTGAAAATACATTCAATTATTTATATATGGATATACATAATGGAATTTAACTATTTGAAAATGCCGTTTAAAAAAGTTAAACAAATAACTGGACTCACACACTGGATTGGAAATATACATTTTTAAGCTGGTATTTAAAAGAACAATCTCCTCTCCCATTTGGATTTCTGATTTCCTGCAGCCTTTTCTTTTCCACCCTCGCTGAGTTATTTAGATACTCTGTTTAATACTTCCCTTTGTGCCCTGTGCTGGAAAAAAATGGTAAATCAATGCAAATTAAACAAGGGATATAACAACCTCTGTGATTGGTTAGGGATCCAATACCCCATCTTACTACCCTAGCTATTAGAGAGCAAGTGGCTCCATCTTCACCAATTAGATCTAGTTTTGAAATGCACCACATCATGTTTTCGTGTAGGAGACGTTTGGAGACGCTGCTGAACCTGTTTGATCTGGACAGGCAGAAACTGATTGAAACAGGAAACGGACTAAATGTTCCTGGTTGAGTCATTAGTCACAATTCGACTTCCAGCGATGAATGCAATATAAAGAATGAATAGGTCTGAAAGGTTCCTTTCAGAGACAGTTCCACCTCTTTGTTAGTCCAGAAAAAGAAATCCCATTCATGCAGCTTATAATTTCCACTGTTGCTTTTCTTTGTTTGTAGTGTTTTCTGCACAGGCGTACTCATACATGTATGTTGGTCATGCAATATTATGAAATATTATTTCTGATTTGCAGCTGTAACGTGTGAGCTCCATAATAAAATCCCGCTGGGGTCAGACACAGTCAGTAAGTTTATAATCACAGTCAGTGTGTCAGACATCAGTGGTTAGATCTTAATAAAACTTGATTTATAAAATGATTCATGACACCTGACGACATTGAGATTTGATATAAGATCATAGTGACTTTCAAGGAAGCTTGTGTCCTCACTCTTCAACCTATGTCAGGTCTTGTCATGTCACTTCCAGTCTTATTCTGAATTAAAACCAGAGCAGAGAGAGCCATACCCTATGGAGTGACTGATTGTTATTGAACTCTATAGTTGCGGTTTAATTATGATATTTACCAGCCCAAGAATAGCCAAACATCATATTAGGAAACAGCGCAGGAGCTGTGTATGACTCAGATCAATAATAAAGAGACACTGAGATGTTGTGCTCACTTCATTACAATGCTCCTTTCCAACAGAGACATAATATGTGTCTCATGTGGTGCCTAATTTGAGATGGGTTTTGTGTAGCTGGTAATGTGAATCACTTTTCAAAAACTCAAGCTACCTCTCTTTTCCCCCTGCAACCTTTCAAAAGACCCTTTTGCAGCCTGCAAAGAGTTCCATTAGTTTCCGTCAGCAATTCTCCGTGAGTTTCTGTTGTGGCACAGTCTAATCAGGGTCAAGGGTGCTCAGTGGCTGAAAACTCACCAAACAACAATAGTGCCTGTCAAAAAAACTATAGTTGCTACTGCTAAAATTAAACAGCTGAGGTTTTATAAGTACCAAACATTGATGTGCAGCGCTGTCAGCAGAGACAATTTGGGATTATTTATCTTGCCCAAGGACACTTTGGCACTTGGAATGGTTCGAGGATGACCTGCTCTACCTCCTGAGCCACAGCTGCTCACTATTTATGATTACTGCCTGAAGACATATTTGTCATTTAGTCATTGTCAGTATTTCCAACAATTTGAATGGCACTCAGTAGAGCACATACATCTTCTGTGGCCCAACAGTCCCCTTCAATTTATCCAAGCTGCTCTAATAGATATCAGTTCCCTGAATATGCCTGATCTGTTATCAAGATCCATGAATTATTCCCTGAGAAATCAGTGAAAATGTTTAAGGTAGTCACGAAATTCCTTGCTCAGTCTCCTGATCTACATCTGCACCAAAAATTACATTAATTCTTTTCTAAAAAATATCACATTATTTCTGCAATTTTCATCTTGATTCATCCAGTAGTTTTTGCTTAATCTTAATCTTACTTATAAACAAACAAACCAACGAAAGGATAATTACACCATAATCCTGTAGATGGTCTTGTAAATGAAAAGTCACTTAGTAGGTGGAAAACAAATCACGTCACAGCGTGCAGTCTCTTATGTGGATGCACTGACTGACATTAAAGCATGGGGGCTTTTAGGAAAAAAAAAAGCATCTGCAGATTGTTGTGCACTATATAACATATATTTTAGCTTTTGTCAGGAAGTTTAATCTCTTATTTTCCGAGGCTGGTTCCATCAAACTGAGTGCACCTGCTGTTAATGTAGCATAATGGTGTCCAATTATAGTCCTGAGCCTGTATCTGTATTTACTGGTTCTTTTTGCTTTGACTCCAGACAGTTCCCAGTGGGACCATGTCAAAGTGTAACTTCAGCCCTTGCTCAGACCCTCACTCCACCATGCGTGATTTTAAAAAATGACTTTAAAAAATTGGTTAAAAGTGACTGGGGGGGATGAGGGAAGCAGGGCTGCATGTGAGAGTGACTGTCAGTGATGATTTCAGGCCACAAAAAAATGGAGCGCGGCCAGATTGACATAGATTCACCAGGCACATATGTCACAGAGGGCTGGAGGACTTTTTTTGTGGTGGACCATGGTGTTGCTCCAGCCCCAGTCAGCCGGCGCTCTCAGAGTTAAGACAATGCAAGTTGAGTGTGGGGGGGAGAAGGGCAACATAACGTTAGTAAGAAAACTAATGTTAGTGAACTTTTGAATAAGTTGTAAAGCTATATGTTACACAAAATGTCCAATCAATCAAGAGAGACACACTGTCTTCTCTACCAGTGTTGTCCCTCACCCAGGTTTGTGTGCTGTCTCCTGTCTCCCTTAGAGAACATCTGACGTAGGGAGGAGCCAAAGCTAATGATACGCTACTGCTATAAGAATAGACCAGTTTGTCTTTAAACACAATTTCTAACCTGCTTACATTTGATTAGAGGGCGTGAACTTGTATATATAAATATTATGACGGCGCAAAAAGTCATCAGCATCTGTCCCGCAAGGTCCAAGACAGACTGAAACACAAGGTGGCATTATGAGCAACATTCAAAACATGAAAATGATTTTTTTTATAAATTTGGTAAGAAGTGTGATATAAAAAACGCCATTACTGTGTCTCATCACACCACAGTCATATAGTATTTCACAGCTCAAATCAAACATCTCTTTAATGTTTGGTCTCCATCTGTCTGAGTAAAATATAATGTATCCTCTTGATTCACTGTGTTTTAATGGATGTATGGACATTAAAACACTGAATTTAAATATCTCCAGACACTTGGTGCAGCGCGGGGCATCATTTTAGGTTGGTGCAATGACACATGGCAGACGACAGGGGGCAGAAACAAGCAGACATCGCGTCTGAACTACTCTCAATTTAGGCAACGAAGAAGACACAATAAACCGCGGTTACTTATGGGTACTGCTTCCTCTATGGTAACTTGCAGTGAAGCTAACGCTGGAGAGCAACTACATATCCCATGAGCCTCTGCAGCAGCCATTGAACCTCGGTTTGTTTGGAACGAGTGAAAGGTGAGGTTGAATTTCTGTTTTTATTCCGGTGACGAGTTAAATCTCCTGTTGGAACAGATTCTGACACGAGAAGTGATGCTAACAACATTAGCTCCAGCAGCTACATGTGACGTCTGCGTACGTTAGACAGCTTTTGTGTTAGCGTAGTGTTTTCTTCACGTTAACGTGGTTCACAGCTGGTTAACTCTAGTCTGTGCTTCCTCAGCAAAGCCTTAACATAATGTATTTGTTTGATTTCATTTCTTTATGTATTTGACAGGGACGATGCTCGTCAATCAACGGCAAGATGGCTCAATTCCATCTGTTGACCCTGACCTGGTTGTAAAAAGGCAACCCTAGAATTAAAAGAAACCATAGACCGATTTAAACAAGCTATGATTTACAGGCACAGAGGTAAACTATCTGATCATCAACATATATTCAGATTATCCAAAGATTTGTTTATTGTTGTTTTTTAATCATATTAAAATACAAAATCCAATAAAATTGTAGTAATATTTCTTCCTCTGAACGATACAAAGGAGTAAAGTAGTTGCCATTCTGTTGATGTAATATGTGTAGACACGAATAATTGTTTTTGAGTGACTTTACAGCTTTTTCAATAAGTTTAACTATCTTTCAGAGAAACTCTACATCTTTGACTCCCCTGTGCAGACGTACACACACATACATACATGTACACATATATAGAGACATACTTTATTGATCCCGAAGGAAACTGAAGAGCACAGAGCTAAATTATTCTACACTATTGTGCAACCTGCAATGAACAAGCTAGACTTCAAATTTATAATCTTCAGTTTTTGTTGACACCGTGTAACAGAGATGCTGATTCAACTTAATGCCCAGTCCTGAGGATTCAGAAGGTTCAGCTGTTAAACAGTGTTGCATCATACTGAGAGGTGTTTCTGATTCGTCCTCCTCTTATTTATGGACATCACATTAGATGCCAGCTTACCAGCATGTTGTGCAGATATGTCTTATCATCCAACCTGTTCCAACATCAAACAGAGTCTGAGCAAAATCCTACAGATGTTTTTAAAGTATCCACAAGTTTACATCTTTTCTGCGTAATATTTTGTAAAATGTCCATTATAAACATCCATTGTATCAGTTGGGCTATGAACTATTTCATATCCTGATGACTGTAATGAGTCATATCAGTCTGACTGTTTGATTTCAGTGATGGAGATTCCTGAAGATTTTAATCAACTCGAGCTTCTGAACTCACATGGACACTTGATCCCCCGTGGAACCAGCAGCCTGTGGACCGGGAGCAATGATGTGGAGGAAGAGGAGGAAGAGGAGGAGGAGGAGGAAGGTGAACATAGCGAGGAGTGGTATCTAGAAAAGGAGGAAGCTCTTAAAGGCAAACCAGTGGAGCTCATTCTGTGGGCTGCAGAAAACAATCGTGTAAGTGAACAAAACCATTATATTATTCATTTAGTCATGCTGCATTTCTCTTGAAGTGGGAATAAGCACAGAGTAAACATTCAAAAGCACACACAGAGACGAGCACTGGTGGTGTAACCACTGATGACTCAGCAACCTTGACAGGTCACCAGCGCATCACTGAGCCAACATAGAGAGACAAAGATTCACATCCCCACCTACGGGCAATTCAGAGTTTTCGTTGGTTGGAAATACCTGAGTGAAATCCAGCCGTGGAGAAAGCAGATTTCAATTTAGAGAGAATTTTTATCTGGCATTTCAGTAGGTCAAGAGCACAGGAAGGCATGTTGTCATATTTAGGCTCTTTAGATAGTTTCAGTTATTAGCAATTTCTGCTTTTAGTGCCGTGATATACTTCTGTCAACTGTTACCTGAAATCAACCACAAATGATTTCAGTAACTAACTGAGTATTTGGCATCACACGTAGATATATTAAATTTGTACTGTTTACTGATTCTGAAGCCACAATTCAATCAAACACCAAAACTTTTTTAATCCTTGTTTGAGGAAGCCTGATAATACCTGTCATTCTAAAATTCCTATGTGGAAACAAAGGAAGAAAAAGCCTCATTGTCATGCTCATGTTTATAATTTGGAACTTCTGGCTTAAATCTGTATGCCGTTTAGAGCTCTAAGAATGAGTCAAAAGAAATAATCAGTAATAACTTTGATAAAACCAAACATTTGAGTCTCAACTTTTCAATTGAGGTATTGTTTGTTCTACAAAACAACGTCAACCTTCGGCTCTATGCAATTGTAGTTTCATTATTTCCTTCATTGTAATAGATGTGAAATTTATGATATAAAACAATTTTTAAAACAATAATTGTCAAAAGATTTCGATCTTAGCTACAGTTGCATTGCAGGTCGTTCAGACGAGCGGTTTGTTCTGCAACAGGATTTTTCTGTAGAATCAGTTTCAGACAATGGACAGCTACAGGAAACGCAAAAGATTCAAAGTGTGAGTCTGTGATTGTGTATCTACCTATGCAGATGTTAAAATATATGTGTATCACAATTAAATCACATTTTCAGGAAAATCTAAGAAGTTGATGGATAAAATAATCAGCCTGTTTTTGGCTAAACTGACAGACTTATTCTAAAAAACATCAACTCTCACAAAAACCTCTGATGTTAGACAATTTAATGTATATACAGCATTGTGATATCACACATAAAATCTCACAAAAAATGCTTATCATGAATAATCATTTTGCTTTGAATTGGAACGTATGCGACAATATAGGACACAACAAAAACAATGTGGCCACTTGCGTCCCAGACCGCCTCCGAATGTGGTCAGAGCTGTAGTTTGGTTGTGTGGTTCACATGGTTCTTTGTCTGTTAGTTAGCAAGATTCCCAAAAGATTTTAATCAATTTCCTGCTCCTGAGCATTTATTACTTCTTTTTCCTCCAGCTTTCAACCATCCACAGATTATTATCAGCTGATCCTGGGCTGGTGCACTGCTGTGATGAGGACGGTTACACTCCCCTGCACCGTGCAGCATACAGCGGCCATGTGGATGTTGTTTCTGCTCTACTCGCCGCTGGCTCTGAAGTTAACACCCGCACCATTGATGGCTGGACTCCCCTTCACAGCGCCTGCCGTTGGAGCCGCGTCACAGTGGGGAGTTTCCTCCTGCAGCGAGGAGCCGAGCTGAATGCTCAGACCAATGGCGGGCTCACGCCACTGCACCTGGCCGCTTCACACGCCAGCTCCTCAAAGACAGATTCCGCCCAGACTCTAGAGCTGCTGCTGTCTCACAGACACCTGAAGCCGGGGCTTTGCAGCAGCACTGGGGAGACGGCTAGTGAGGTGGCCCGACGCAGTGGGCCGCATCACTACCTGTTTGAGATTGTAGAGGACTGTGTCAATGTGGTACCAGACTCGTGAAGTCTCACATTAACTTACTTACAGAGCGACCTTCCCTTTTACTGAACTCAATAAATCTTTGCTGATGTTCAGGTTATCATAATAAAATAATGCTCTATCTTTGTATTATTATCACAACGTCCTGCCTCAGTGATTCTCCATGAAAATCAGATCCACTCTGGTTCAGTTGAGTCTAGATCTTATATTAAAAGAGAAACTTTATTTTTTACTGACAGAATCATTTATATTATTATTGCTGTACATCTCAACGTGGAACTTGTCCTGTGCTATGTTCTCCTTCCTCTCAACCAGCAAGAACCAAACTAATTGTACTAAACCTTTAAGCATGAGTCCATGGTCACTTTGTGAATTTGTTCAGGAAACTTTAACAGAAATCCTTGTTTTGATCTCACAATGGATACAACTCAAATGTCTATTAATTGTTCTCTATATGGTCAGAAACAAGTTACAGCAACATCTTCATTTTGTCCTCGCTCTCCTCCTGTAAAGCATTATGGGAACATTTCAGTGTCAATATGAAAGACAAGATGATAAGTGGTTGTATTCGTCTTTTCATGAAGCTGGAAATCTCCTCAAAAGTTCTGCCTCGCCAGAGAGATGGAGTTCATGGCCGTGGGTCACCTCAGGCAGACAGAGGTAATTCTGCTTGTCTGTTATGGCAACAACAAAACCTGGTCACACGGCATCTGTAAACATCTTAGCACAAAGCATATTTTCAAACGAGTGCTGCTCGGATCACAAACTTTTGCAAGGTAAGGTCCAAGGACAGTTTGGTCTGAATAGATGAGTGCTGGCTCTTTGTGACTTCAACTTGACTAGAGAGGAGAGCTAGCGACAAACACTATTTTATCCCTGCTGTCACAAATTAAATACAAATAGTCACACAGATTTACATCAAGGGCAGAGTAAATCTACACAATGCTTTTCTCTGTCCCATAGGCTTGGTAACCCTGAGCTGTTGATTGTGACTCGTGTATGATCAAAATGAACTTCAGAGGCTTTTTCCTGAAAGGCAATCGCAAAAGTCCGGTTAAAATAGGAAAGCTTAGCCGATAGAAAGGCGGAATAAAGACAAGCATCCCCTCCTGCAGGAAAAATTCCCAGCTGGGGTGACTTCTCATTAAACACAAATTTACAGGGAATTTACTGGGGACACCTGCTGTGCAGCTTCAAGCTTCTCGTATTTAAGAGGTGAAGTTACATCAGAGCATGAAATGACTTGATTGTAAGGTTTGATTATAGAGAACACATCAATAGCATATGTTTGTTGTAGTATATTAGTAAGTAAATGTATTTGAGACACGCGAGGTGGGAAAAACAGGACTGCTCCCATCATTTACTATTTGTCATCTCCTAGAACAGGAGTAATTCTCGAGGAGGGTTTGTAAACCACCAGATAACTTGCAGCTGCTTTGAGAGAAAACCAGTTAAACACTTTACTAAACGACATCCTCAGAGAAACTATTTCAAAGCTTCAGATCTGTAAATGCAGAGGCTCCATCACATCGACGTACCGACACAGCTGCGGTGTTGGGATGAGGCAGTGATGACGTGCTCAGTATTTAAGCAGTTATTAGCTGTGGGTGAAAATGGTCCATAAGTGGTTTAACATTTAATCAGTGAGGGGGCTGGTGATTATGTGCCCCAACGCTCACAAATGAATCCTAGTCATTCTGGTTTAAAGTCGACCAGGCCGCGTGGTTTGTCACCATGGCTGAGGACACCACACTGTACAGACTCGCAGGAGTTCAGTGATTTGCGTTAAAAGCAGAGTGAAGCCAGAGAAGTGCTGCCTTTTTTTTATTCATTACTCCCACCACAGATGATCGCCTGTCAGGCTTTGCATGTAGGAACATTATTTCAATCAGACAGAGATTTATTTTCTTTTTTACCAACCTGTAATTTTCCCTACTGGTCATTAACTGCAGAAAAGTGGCGACGTCTCAGTCTGTCGAGTAATCTCTGTTGTTTTTCAGCTAATTAAAAAAAACTAATCAAAACACCAATCATGGCATCATTAGAGCGGGTTTTTGAAAAAATGTGTCAACGTTAATACGTTTCTCACTGATTGTGTTCAGGTAAGACGTGAAGAATAAATCATATGTTGAAAACCCACGACTGCTGTCATTCATGTGTGTGATGATTGGGTTGTTTTTAAGATTACATGTGTGTAGCATGCTGATCTTTCTCACATAGGAAAAAACTGTTGTTGAATCCTCCACATGTTTTACAGGACACGACAATAACATAATGCTGTATTGAATTTCTGAGTTTGTGTTACGTAAACATTCTTTTCACTATGCGTTCTTCAACAGTTTCCACCTGCAATTCACCACACGTTGAAAGTCACATATATACTATATAAAGTATAAAGAAGGTTACCTTTTCAGCAGGATCAAACAAAAACTGCCTAACTGATCTGTGGGGCCTGATCCAAAAAAGAACCAATGAGTCATGTTCTTTCTGAGCATCAGACCAGCTTCTCAATGTGGCTTCAGTTGTGCATTGAGTTCTGTTGTGGATCTTGGATGTTTCTATACCTGGGGCCATAGAAGGGCCACAATTTACACAGAAGATCCAATTAGACGTCCACCACCCATGCACAAGTCCTGTTTCAGTAAGGTGCACATTAAATCATTTCTTGTTTGCTGTTAGCTCTGCAGCTTTCAACATCATTCAATATATTTTTGAACTTGTTTCTTGTTCGAGTACAGTGTTTTTTCAAAAAAAGCTCTGAAAATTAAATATTCTTAACAAATTGTCATATTTATTGATAGGATCGTTAATGACGCACTTCCGGGGACCAATCAAATTTTGCAGATTCCCCTCTTAAAAACATTTTCTTATATCATTGATTTAGTTGTTTCCCATGCAGCCTATGACAGTTTGAAGATCTATATATTAGCTGCAGCCAGGAAGTGCTTAGCATAGTTGAGCATAAAGACTGGAAACAAAGCAAAAGTTGTACAATGGTTTCAAATGAACAACAAGCATAAAATCATTTTCGTCTATAACAATGAGAAAACAGCCAATTACTATTTTCATAGATTTATGAAAAATAGGGCGATTGGGATTAATGATGATTTCATTGGGAACCTCAAGGCTTTATCTCTCATCAACTTATGAATGAGGCAAAGAGAAGATTTAAGGTCAAACAAACAGGACAGTTATTTGTGATAATGAAACTGGAGATTTTTCACCATTGTGAAATATTCAGTGACACAAACAACGATGTGGCACATCTGGACATTTTTACAATGAAGAGCTCTGGATAATTTTCATAACATCAGTGTTTGGAATATTTTTCATATTTGAGTGGCAGTTGATGAAGCAAGATGGAGAATGAAGTCTTCGTTGTGAATGTAAATTAGCAAGAAGATCACAAAGATAAGTCTCAGGGAATGAGCATATTGACCATGGGTTGATGAAGACTGTAAGTTCGTCAACAAAAGTAGAATTTGAGTCGAAGTGTTGTGTGTTAAAGCAAGTTACACACTTTAAACTTGCCGAAACCAGTAATATTTTGTTTATAATAGTTTTTGATAGAAATACGGTGATGGAAATACAGGACTCTGCTCCGCTATTTTCATGAATTTATCACATATCCCAATGCTGAGAGGTTGAACTCACACAGGTTTAGTTTATGGTCATTAGCAGTGACCATGGTCTGTGGATAAAGACGGATGACGTGTCTTTCCTCCGTCATCCCTCTAAACTTTGCACCTTGCAATATTTGCACAACCCAATCAGTATTATCTACATTCATTCATTCATTTTTACTCAGCAAGATCTATGAGGGGCCATTCAGGGACTCAGTATCTTGCCCAAAGACATGCAGATGGGGAAGACTGAGGATCGAACCCAACCTTCTGGTTAGATGACAACCACTCTACCCCTAAGCCACAGCTGCCCTGGGCACATGATAAATAATGTCTTGACCTCCACCAGCTTGTACTTTTGAGGACTCTTGGTGCCAGAGTCTGCGCTGTAGTGGAGCCACGTTATCAAGGTTCCTGCTGATACACTCGCTCATGAGACCGTCTGAGCTGTCAGTCATTATCGCCCACATCACTGTGCCAAGAACTACCTAGAATAACAAAGATCTTTGGGAAACATTTGTTCATGTACTTTGACTTTTGAGTTTGTTCCATGAGGCAGGGTTTATGACCTGTTCTGCAGCCAGCCACCAGGGGGCCATCAAGATGATTTGTCTTTACTTCTGTGAAACCTGTCCATTTTTAGCCTTGATGATTATCACTCATGGAAAAAGCAGAAGAGCAAAAGCACTTCATGGTTCTGTGCAGGTGAGAAAAAATGTAAGTACCCACAAATGATTTGACCAAACCCATTGAAAGGGTCTTTGAGTTTCAGGTTTGTATTTCCTCATCTTCCACACCAGTCACTTTTTCTTCCTTACATTGTTGACATATTCCTCTGAACACAGACGATCAAATGCAACCTACAGTCAACATGATGATAGCCATGTCATAATACAATATTGGTCTAAATCCCACTTGTGTCTGTTGATCTGACAGAGGGGGTGAGAGAAAACTGCAAACTCCTGCTGAAAGGCTGTGATTTAAATGTCTTCTCTGTCACCACATCAGATGAATGTGAATGGTGGAAGTGATGAGAATACGCAGAGAGCCTGAGCGGTTATCAGTCAGTGAAGCACAGCCGCGCTAAAGCTCTTGAGACTGGGGGACAGAACATGAAGTCTTGCTGAAGGGCAGCTCTGGTGACTAAAAGATCAAAATATTCCACAAGTTAATAAAATGTTCGAGTCAGAGAAGCGTGCACAGCACACCTGCTGGGATGAGCACTTCTTTTCTCTCTTTTACTGTCTGCAATTATTATGAAACATCTTTTAAACTGAAATGTTATCATCACTCAGCCGTTGCTATGTTTTGCAGGATCATGTGAAACCATGTGAAGTGTATCTGATGATCCTTGGGGATCAAGCCAGAGATGAAGATGAAAAGTAAGTCATTGTGCTGAACAGATAATTAAATGTCTTGTTAATCAACTACCAAATTATTTGAAATGACAAGATAAAACCCTTTAAATCAAAGTACTTTTCTAAATGAGGTAAATCATTAAAACACCATGAAGTTCAGAGGGAGTTTAAATCCAGCACATCTAGGGAACCTTTGAGGAAACAGATTTGCTTTGTTGTTCAGAGTTAGATCTTTGCCACTCTCATGTCTGAACATAAATATGAAGCTTGAGCCAGCGGCAGGTTAGCTTAGCTTAGCTCAGCATGCAAGCTGAAAGAAGCAGATGGAAGCGATCCATGTTCTGTCCAATTTACAGTTTTAATGCCTCCGTGCTTCCCATTCCCAATCATCTCAGAAACACTTCCTGGAATCCTTTCAAATTCGGAAAAAACATTTACTTGGACTCAAATGATTGGAATTTGGTTACAAAAGGTCAAAGGATTTTGGTGATGATATTTCTCTGGTCAGAGGTCAAAGGTCACAGTGACCCTTTGAATCTTTTGTTCTGTGACTGACTGAATCACATTGACACATGGTAATGAGTTGCCTCTTACCATCAACAATCTTCCCACTTTGCCCAACAGCAAGATACTTCTGATCTTCAAATTCACCCATCAAAGCATGTGGCGTCACAAGGGGCGGCCCGATGTTCTCCGGAATTTGTCCTTTCCACATGAGAGGAGGGGGAGAAACAAGTTCATATTAGTTTTCAGCTATTGAAATTACAGCTGCATGTGTGTCATAACAGAGATAGTTTCTTTTTACTTGGAATAGTTTGGAGAAGATGAAATGTACTTTAATCGAAACAGATAGATAAAAATATTCTTCTGTTCGTGAGTCGAGGGTCGGAAAGTAATTATATAGCTATTTGTTGTAGACTTATTGACCACTCAGTACAAGTGAGAACCCCCCACTTACATACACATCCATGCCGCGCTGCTCTCCCTTGTCAGCAGTCATCAGGGGTTCAGTATTTCGCCCAGGGTCTCTTTGGAACGCAGAGAATCCAGGGATCGAACCACCAACCCTTCTGGTCAGTGGACCACTCTCTTTACTGCCTGAGCCACAGACGGATAAGGATAAATGATATTTTCTTCAGCCTTTGCTGCATTATTGAAAAGATGAAATAATACAAACAGATACAGAAAGAAAATGTACTTTTCTATTTACAGAATGTGAGCAGGCTATCAATCTAATTGAATATGCTGAACAATGTAGACTGCTTGTTTATGTTATTGTTATTATGAGCATGACATCATGGAAACATATGAAATACATCTGGGGAGTCTACAAGCCACAAATCTGTCTCAAATGTGTAGCAGACATACATTTTTAAAAATTTGCTGTAAAACCCGTGTGGCATGGTGGTATAACGGTTAACCCACCTGTATCACAGCAAGTTCCTGATGTATAAAGGTAAATGGCCTGTATTTATACAGCAGACTTTCCACTAGCAGCACAAAGAGCTTTAAAATGCCTCCAACTATCCACACAGACTCACAGTTTGTTTGTAGACCAAGGACAACTCCTCTGCTGCTGTTCATGTGCTGAAAGCTGAAACACATGACTGGTCTGCGGCTCTTTCTCTGCATGTCCTCCTCTGTGATTGATCTTTTTTATTTCTGAAGTAGTTTTACTTCGACTTCTCAGTGTGATGCACAAAGAGTGATCTTTAAAATGTCAAGCTTTAAAAAAGGTATGACAGCAGGTCCTCAGCCTGTTATTTGTGCAGCCACAGGAGAAAACATCAACCTACACTCTGAATCGCTTATATACAATCAGAATGACCATAGATTATGATGAGATGACGGCCCAGAGTGTTCCTGTACCACCATCTACTGGACACAATGCAAGGCCGAAATTCATGTGCAACAATATTTTCTCAGTAGCTAAAAATATAAACACCACCCCCAACATTTAATGAGAATGACAGGCACCTCTTGATTTCATTCTGATTTTGTTCCCACCTACAAAACTATTACAATGAAGCAATACAACCCTCTATAGCTGGAGCTCTGACAGTTATCAGAGTTTGATTGTAAACACATTAAACAATAACTTTGTATTTGCTGCAGCTTGAGTTTATTTTAGTTTTCACCTTGTTCCTCAGCATTATCTGTGTGAACAGAGATCGGTTCTCGGGGAAACATCATGATGCACTGCTGCTGCTGCTGCTGCTGGAGGAGCCACTTGTGATAAGGTTGTGATAACTTTTATATAAGATATTCAAACACAACAGACAAAATAGACAACAAGAAACACAGCAGCAAATGAAGAAACACAACAACAAATCGCTAAACACAATGACATATAAGAGAACAGAACAACATATCACCAAATAAAACTGAAAATGAGAAAACACAGAAATGAAAACACGGATTAACTGTCTGGAAGGAAATGTTGACAAAACAAGTTTTGTATTTTGTTGTGTTTTCATATTTGAGGTGTTATTTATTTATCATTGTCTTGTCATATTTATCATTGTTTTTTGCTATTTCTTATTTGCCGTTGTGTTTTCGTATTGGTCATTGTGTTTTGTGAATTTTAGTCTGTATCTGACAGACTGTATATAAAAGGTCACTTGATGTACTGTTCCCTTCATCATGGCATAGTTAAATCAAGTCTGTCTTTTTAAGAGATCCTGTCTTGATTGACAACACGTTTGGAACATATTTGCATCTCAAGGGTTTTTGGAGTCAGAGTAGGTCTGATCAAGTCATCCACAATTAGTGTAGTGTAGTGTAGAGCAGAAGAAGTGACTTATCCACGTAGTTTCCATTCGCATACTTGGATATTTTCATGGTTTGTGAACATTTTCTCACCTCAGGTCTGAGAATTTTGGATCTACCCCCAAATAGAAATAACTAGAGATTATTTTGTGTCATTTGAAAGGTTTTACAGGACAATTAAATAGTTACATAAAGATGATTGGCAGAAGCAGCTCACAGAGTGTGCCTTGTTCTGCGTCCTCTAATATCTATAGATGATTCATAGTATCAACACATATTCATCAAACTGTTTCTGTAACCACATGGAGATCTATTGATTTTCTCAGAACTACACTGATCTCTCCAAAATGTACATGCTGTATGAGCCAACAGCTCCATCTAGTGGCTCTAAAGCAGAACTGCATGTGAGATACAAAGCCGTAACTACTGGTTTTTATGACAGTTCCCAACCAATAAAACTCTTAACATTTAAGAAATAATTTTTTTACCAAAAAAGAAGTATTTAACTATAATAAAAAAACACAGAACAAAACATAGAGCTTTAAATTTTTATAAGACTTATAAAAAAGAAAAAACATAACACAATAACGAAGGCATGTCATACATTGTGTTTTTTCTTTGTTTCTCTGAGGAGTATTTACAAATAGGCTTATGTACAGATAGCAATAACTCAGAAATGGATTAAAAAAAAAAGCTACATATATTCTAGCACAAACAACCAGTTAGCATAATGATAATATATTTGTTATGTACAACGTAACTGGCAAGGCTAGAGCAAGAAGGAACATAAAGATTCTGCAAAAAGTTTTAAATAACTTCAAGTATCTGTCTTGAGGTTTCGTGGAGGTTTTAGTCCAATGAATGCAGATATCCAGAAACCAAAAAAATCTGGTCGAGCTGCAAACTGTGTAGTGTGGCCGGGAAAAGTACAGGATGAGCTCTAGCCATTGGAAAAGTCGACACAGACGACGAAACAAATGTGGCAACACAGAACGATCACTTCTATGATAAATGCCCACTTATTTTTTAAGAAACTTTGAAACACTACCTGGAGAATATCTTCTCCACATACAAAGTGGTATCCAGCTTATTGGCCTATAACACCTTTTTTTACTTCTCTGAAAAACAAATGTGCAACAGGCAGAAAAAACAACATACAATAGGAAATATGAACACACTGTTCATCTGGGGGAAATGGGGGAAAGGACAAGGACAACAGTTTATAGAGTAAGTTTCTTGGACTTTGTGGTTGAACTAAACATCTTAGGTATTCAACAGTAACTTCACAACATTCTGATGCCATTAAATTTTCTTTGTGATGAAACCCGCAACTCAAAAAAACGGGTTATGTTTCAGTAAATAAAACGAACAAACTTCATTGTAACTGCAAAAGCGTAACTCATTCGTCACCTAGTACCTTGAGGTCCAAATATAATGGAACCACAGTCAGAATAGCAGAGTCAGATGTATGAAAAGAAGAACTAGCTTGTTCGAGGAAAGATTGGGCTATTCTTCTAGGTTAGCATTAGTTAGGCCTATTCTAATCATATAAAGCCACTATTAAGGAAAAGTGTGGCCCAGACTAAGGCCATTTGTCCTGTTGACGTCTCCAAGTGCATGAAACGCTAATGCTACTTCACGACGTTCATATAACAACACTGTAGGGCTCAGTCTCCTCCCTTGTTTACATTTCAGTTTAGTGTCCATCCACTTTGGAAGGAGGAAAAAAAACATTCACAACACAACACAGGCTGCGGGCAGTAGCGTGGTCACTGAAGTACCCAAAGGCATGTCTCAAACGGCACCCATCCACGTGCACTGCTTTTGACCAGACTTGAACTGTAACCCTGAAAACAGGAGCACCCTAAAGACTCTAGTGTCATTTTTAAGACCTTAAAGTAGAGCAGCGGAAATCGGAATTTCTGTTCTTGTTTGGCTGAGAATAAAAATGCCATCAGGAGTCAAATTAGAAACCATGTTTAAAAACACAAACCACGCTACCAGGAGAGTAGAGTGAAATTTATGACCGTCCTCTCAAAATTAGTGCATTTCCTGGGCAGCAGGGTACCATTTGAGAATCTGTTCTGATCAGCTCATCTACCCCCCTCCCTCCCTTCCTCCCTCGCTCAGATGCCCCCTCTCAGCAGACTGTGAGTGGCTGTGGGTCGCTGTCACGCCGCTGGTTCTTCTTCAGCAACTGAATGCGGTTGTGGCAGTAGAACTTTATGGCACGCCAGTCGCGGTGGTTGCTGACCAGTAGGGGGCACTGCTGCAGGCAGCGCTCGCAGTCGGCCTTTGCAGGGACTCGGAGCTCGGTGATGTTTCGGGTCAGGTGCTCCTCGACGGCTGCGCGCTCCGCCTCTGACCAGGGACGCTTTAGGACGCCTCGCTTACCTACAAAGACAGAAGAGATGAACGGAGTTAGAGATCACACATCAGCTTCTGTGACACCACACACCCTGAAAACACACTCACAGTTCTTGAGGATCACACTTGCAAATGAAAATGTTGAAATTAAATAAATATTTTTTCAGAGCCATTTAAGAACTTCTTATCCGCGTTGGTTTTAAAGCTAAAAAAAAGTTAAAGTTAACTTAAATGTATGCTGATAGAGATCAGCTGATGTGATGAAAAGCTCCAGAACAGCAACTAAATGAATATGTCTCTTCAGTTGTTATCAAGGCTAAGAATAAACTTTGAGCCTCAGGGACTCAGAACACACAGGTGAGGGGCACTCACTGAATTCCATCAAACAAAAAACGTTTGACATTTAAATTGCTAGGAAACCGTCTACTGGTGTGTTCAGAACCAAACCATGTATCCAAAGATTCCTATGGTGAGATTACATACAAAGTCAACACAAAGATGCAAACAGACATAGCTTCCAACCTAGTAAGTTGAAAAGTTTTTAAGATTCCAGCTTTCCAGATTCATGTAATATCACTGTGACCTTTGACCACTGAGACATAATCACTTTATCTTTGAGTCCGAGTGACAACTCAATAAAAGTTGAAGAAATTCCCTCAAGAATGAGATATGACATTCAAAAGGCCACCATGACCTTTGACCTTTGACCACCGGAATCTAATCAGTTAATCAGTGAGTCAAGTTGAATTGTACCAGATGTAATGAAATTCCACAGTCTTAATATAACACATTCACAGGGACATGCAGTCACCATGACCTTGACCTTTGACCTCCAGGCACCGAAATCAAATAATTATTTTTAATCAATCAATCTAATTATTTGAGTCTGAGTGAAGCATAGATGGAAACAAATAACAAATTAAAACCAAACTTATTAGAAAAGTAAACACCAGTGTCATAAGAAATACCTAAAATGACAGAAACCCTCCTGGAGAAAAATGTATTTGACATGTAATTTGACATTTTCAGTTGGGTCCATGTTCCATCTATTAACATGGAGGAGGCTGGCTTTAAGTTCTATGCTGCAGCCAGCCACCAGGGGGAGATTGACAGGCTTTGGCTTAAGTTTTAGGGAACAGTCAAGTAGTCCATATTTATCAACAACAGTCTATAGAGTAATTATAAGTGACATGTCATTTACTTTATTTGTCTGAGAACAGGTTCTAGAAAGGTACATGTATACAAAAACTTGACAGGTGAGGGAGTTTACAGTTGTCCCTGAGTAAATACTGATGTTAAAGACTTTAACTGGAGTTGTTTATTTACACTTACTCTATTCTTCTTCCTGTGCAGGATACTTTCTAAGATAACAAATAGGAAGCTTACATCCAAGGGATATAAAATAGGCATTTTAGCATAATCGATTTATGGTCATTTTTATAATAATTTAATATAGGTTCTGTAGGTTTTAAATGATATTTTGTGATGTAGAGGTTTTTTTGTTGGGTACTTAAACTTTTAATCTATCTGTGGAGGAAGGCCATCCCTGACTAGCTCAATCAAATCAACCAGATGAAAACCTGGTGCCAAAACACACTGGGGAAATAAAGGAGATTCTTCCAGTCAACTAGACTTGCCAAGTTGTGTTTTTTTACAAATTTGCATGATACTCTAACAGAACAAAACAGTCCAACAAATTTCAGACAAGTTGGAATCTTATATTTTGGTCAGTTGCATCACACCAGAATACTCAGGGGTTTGAACTCATAACAATACTTCAACAGGGGACATATTGTGACTTCAAACGGTTTAAAAACTAATTCACACCTTTCATTTGAAGGCAGAATATTTTCCATATATGCTTCATGGATTTGGCAGCCATGGCTACCCCTGACGTTGAGTTTAATGTGCCCTCAGCCCCCTGCTCAGTAAACAAGCAAGCACAACTAGAAATAGAGATTAAAGAGTTTCCTTAGATGTTTAAATGACACTGCTGCAGCACACTTTACTGACTGATGAAGATGTAGGCCACTTACAATCAGATCTAGGTCATTCTCAATCAAGTCACAAGCATTACTCGTTTCATTTATATGCTGTGTATATAGTCATTGAGTTTTTTTTATCTGATTTACAAATTAGAAATTTAAATAATTGTTTCAAAAATATTCACCTTCCAGGGACATATCTTGATTGTTTTTCATTGGAAGCAGAGGATCCTGACTGAGACAGTAACATTTGTATATCAGTCTCCTATCAGCTATCATGACAGAACGAAGTCTTAATATATTCCCTGTTAATAGGGTTTTTTTTGCTAGTAAGTCCTTACTCTTGTTGAGGGTTAAGGACATAGCATCTCGTTAAGCCCGATGAGAGAAATTGTGATTCGTGAATATGGGCAAATTTGATTGAATCTGATAGATATGACATTCCAGACAGGTAAATACTTTTTGAGTTTGTTGTATGTTTGTACATCAGTGTTTATTTCCCACAGATCGACCAGTGAACCTTTCCTGCTGAGACAAACATCTATTTTTTGTGTTTCACCCTCAAATATGGACTCAGAGCAGTAGAACTACCTATGTTATCATAATTTATCTCCTCTATCTACCTTGATGCTAATGTCAGCTTGTATGCACAAACACACACTCAGACGCTCAAGACAACCAAGATTACTCTGCTTATTACTGCTTTTTGGGGCTTTCACACCTACTTTGTTTACTCCAGACTTACATACTTTTCAGTCTTGTTGGAACCAAAATAGCAAGTGTGAACGGTGCCTCAAACCACGTTTCAGACAAACGGACCAAAATTCAATTCAACCAAGAAAGGTGGTCTCATCCCGGATCAAACTGAACCATGACACCACCAGATACCAGTCTACAAACCGTCTACAAACAAATCAATGTCAGTTATAGGTAGACGCAGCCCATGCAATAGGCTTTAGACGGCTCCCTAAAGTGCAATGTGAAACCAAATCGAATTGGATCAAATATAAACAATGTAATAAAACATGAACTTTGGTTTAGAACTTCAGGTGTGAAAACACCCTTTGTCTTAGTTTTTCCTTTTGCTCTTCAGTTGTAAAACCTAAACAAACCTGATGTGAGCTGACCTGAGCCTCTCCTGCGGTTGATAGGTTGGGGCGGAGGAGGCAGAGGGGGTGGCTGGGTGTTCTTGAGCTTCTTTGGTCGTCCCACCCGCCCATTGTTCTTGCCCTTCCTGACATAGAGCAGGGTAGGTGTAGGAGTTGGAGTAGGAGCAGGGGAGGGTACCTCTGGCTTCTCCTTTACCTGCTCCCCATCAGACTCTCCCTCTGAGTATGAGTCTGCAGAGTTCCCTGACATAACTGGACCATGGGAGGGAGGGGTGTTGCCGGGAAAGAGGAGGTAAGTAAGGAGTGGAAAGCAAGAGAAGAACTTCATTAGTCTCATCTGTTACCAATTTACATGTTTCCAATAAAACTCCATTCACACACAAATACACAAACTGGAAGAGAGGTTAATATCCTTCTTCAGCCAGAGTTCGTTTGACACCACAGAGAAAAGGAAGATACAGTTTGCCTTGGATGACAAAAACAAAACATCTGTCCCACTCATTCGTTCAGCTCTTCATCCAACTCACCATCCAGTTCCAGGCAGATGTGGTTCAGGCTCATTCCTCTGAACAGGACTCCATCTCTCTCTCCACAAAGCACGACTCGGCCAACTCTGCCCATCAGGCCTGGGTCTTGGCCAATTCCGGCACAGCTCTGTGTCACATGGTACTCCCTCTCGAGGAAGTGCTCCAGCCTCTCCACAGCGCTGCCTCCTGGCTGCCCAGGCTCCTCTCCTTCACCCAGAAGCAGCAGCTGGGTCAGGATCGCTACCTGGCGGCGAACCCTGGTCTGGGTCAGGGCACGGGGATTGCGGGTACCGCTAGAGCGGGCCAGGCTGCGAAGGAGATCAGTTCCTCGCAGTGGTGTGGCAGGGGAGTGGTAGGGCCTGGCAAACACATACGGGTTTGCCGGGTCGACTCCTACATCTTGCCGTGTCTGCAGTAAAAGCTCCAGACATGGCTCACAGTGAGGGGGGAGGATGAGGGGCTGAACTCGCCCCCGTTTACCCTGAACTCCAACTCTAGGGAGATGAGGAAGCACAAGGCGTTCAAAGGGGGACAGAGAGGCCTCCAGTGGGGTGAGAGCTGGAGGGGCACCAGGTGGGACGGGCACTGGGCACTGGGGAGTGATGCGAGCACGATATTCAGCAATGGACAATTTGGAGACCTCGCACTCACGTCGTCGGTTGTACAGGATTAGGAGAGCCAGACTGGAGTGGCAGAGAAGGCGCCAAGCCTCGGCTGACTGCAGCTGCCGGGACAAGGACAGGAAGGCCGAGTGTTGGAGACGACGAAGGTACAGGACCAGAGAGGACAAGGACGAGAGAAGGGGCAGCAAGTGGTGACGCCCCGACCCACTTAAAAAAGAGAGAGAGTTAACGATTAGTACATTAATTAATTTTAATAGTTTCAATTACCTTTGAAAAACCTCATGAGTTGTTTGTAAGCTCATTATCATATTGTTATCATACCAGCTGGCATGTTACAACAGGTAACTGCAAATTATTTTCATGAATGATTTATCTGATTGTTTTTTTCAATTCACCATTTTGTCTTTAAAGGTGCAGAAAATAGAGAAACTGCCATTATATAATTCCTCTTCAAATTACTTGTTTTGTGTATGACCAACACCAAAACCCACAAGATATTCAGTTTCCTCTATTCTATGACCATTTACCCTATATATAGAGAAGATGACACAACAGGTCCCCAAAGGTGCCCCCTGGTGTCTGGCTGCAGTATAGGTCATAAATCCCACCCCCTGAATGTTAGCAGATGAGATATGGGCCAAACAAAACAAGAATCAAAGAACACTTCAAATGGATTTTCCCCAAAACAGTTTCAATAACTGAAGGTAGCTCTTATCACAATGATTTCTGATGAAATGTTGACTGTTCTGATTTCCAAATGTATGATTGTTATCTCTAGATCTGTTTGATTTTAATTAATTATATGATGCTATAAAAATAGGGTGCGACATATGCAATCGAGAAACAAAGGAAGTACTAATTATACAATTTTATCAAAAACCGGCTCCATATGTTTAACTCACACTCACAATCACATAAATGTGCTCACACAGCAGACAAAAAACCACTTACCTCAGCAAGTCCTTATCTTTATCCTCTGCACCACTCTCATCGTCCACTTCCATCACTCCATTCTCCTCCTCCTCTTCCTCTTCTTCCTCCTCTTCCACTTCTTCCTCCTCTTTTGGTGGCTCCATCTCTTTGGCCAACTTGGTGCCGTAGGACTGCGGATACACCACCTCTACATCGTCCTCCTCTTTGGCCCTCGTTACATCCACAACCTCCACATCTTCTTCATCTTCGTCCTCTTCCTCCTCCACCTGTGGGTCTTTCTTAAACCTCCTCATTGCTCCCTTCCTTGGCTGCATCACAGCCACAGGGGGTGGGCTCCTCTTAAGAACAGACACTGGCACTGCATTCTGTCCTCGTGGAGGAGTCAGCATTGGTGGGGTGGAGGTTCTTCCAGAGGAGGTTGGGGATTGGTTGGCTGCTGTGAGAGTGGGTGGAGACATGGAGAGGTCCTGAACACTACTGTGGGGAAGATCTGAGCTGCGGCTCTGTGCCGCGACCTGTGACGACTTTGAGTGCTGCTGAGTGTGTAAGTGAGTTGTGGTAGGGTTTGTGTTGTGTGCATGCAGGCGGGGCATCTGTGTGTAGCGCTCGACAAGGGCCGAGCACACTTCTGGTTGGTGTGCGTGGTGTTTGTCTAAGTGGCGACCCAGGGAGCGAAAGTGGCGGCCACAGTACTCACAGGTTTGGCGCATGGAGTCTATAGACACTCCTCCTCTAGGGACACTTGTGTTGACGTTGCTTGTGCTGTTGGCACCGAGTGGAGCCGGGGCTTTGAACACAGGCTTAACCGGAGACGAGGAAGACGAGCAGGGTGGGGAGGACTGCGCCGGAGGGTGGGATAAAGAGAGCGGACGGTTGTGATGCGGAACACTGGCAGGCGAGACTGGTGAAGGGCGCCCAGGTGGCATGCGATGGGGGGTCTTTTTCTTTGAAGGGATGCCGCGCCGTTTCTTGCGGCGACGTAGTGCACGCCCACGAGGACTGGCGTTGTCCTCATCCCCAGCATCTGAGTCACTGGCATCAGAGTGGGATATGGGGGAGGAGGAGGGGGATAGGGACCAAGAGGGGGTGACATAGTCCTGCTGCTGCTGTTGTTGGCGCTGCTGAGCTGACAGAGAGAGGGGCTCATCCTCCTGGAAGTGATGGAGAAAAGATCATTAATTGCCGTTACATAACTTTGGGTTAACCAGTGGCTGGAGATAATATGAAAATGTAGCAAAAATATACCTAATCAACCTTTCACTCTTAACTTTCTTTTTCTTTTCTTACTCTCTACCTCTATCACCACAGCCAGGTGTTGCCATATAACTTCCTGCTATGAGTCTCTGCAGAGACATGTAATTGCAACTTTATAACATACTATAGCAGTGGCTGCAATACTTTTGGTTTAAGTGGTGCACTACTGCAAAATATATATATAAAATATATATATAACAGAAACGCTACTGATTGTAGTCCCTCTAAGTAATATTTGTCTTTATGCTAATAATTGGCACTTACTATTAATAATAATTTCTTTATTTTGATCTAAGAAAACTTGGGACTGCTAGAAAAGTTAATAAGCTAATAATTAAGGGGAATACTTTAGGATAGTATGAATTTTTGATTTCTACAACACTGGGTTTAAGATTAAATTTGGTTGACAAGTGGTATCTTTCTCTCTTACCTTTTTGATATTGTTGTTATTCTCAGTGTCAGAGTTACACTCGCGTTGCACTGGAGACACAGTACCACGGAAACCCTGCAGGACACAGAGCAGTCGCATTACAACATCCGGCACAATGCCTCTTCATGTTTGCCATCACAATCAGCCAAGCCATCACTCAGAAAGCGGGAGGACAACCCACCATGGTTTGTCGTGAGGAAACAGAGGTTTATTAGGACTCAAAATCTCACGCCGGTCTCACGCTAACACGCCAAACAAAAGCAGAAAAAGAGATATTGCTTTCTAACTTTGTCAACAAGTCATCAGTTAGAAATGGGGGGGGGTCTATCAGGCTGGAATACGATGACTAGAACAAATCAATCTGCCAATAATATGTTTTAGAGGAAGTATACACAACCCTGGTCCTACATAAACCGCTGATGTCAATTTGACCAATTTTGTCAATTCAATTTCTGTGAACAGATTCTGGTTTCTTAATCTTTTTGAGTAAAATGATCTGATCTAATGAGATCCATTTAAAGAACAGATGTCATGTTATAACCATGGTTACTGTTGCTAAAGCACTATAGGTAGAGAGAGCGAGAGAGAGAGACAGTGAGAGAGAGAGAGCGAGAGAGAGAGACAGAGAGAATGAGAGAGAGAGAGAGAGAGAGAGACCTGGAGCTGAGCCATCACCATGGTAACCCCATGCCTTGCTTAGCTGTGTTTTTGTAGTGTGTGTGTGTGTGTGTGTGTGTGTGTGTGTGTGTGTGTGTAAGAGAGACAGACTGTGTGTGTGTGTGTGTGTGTGTGTGTGTGTGTATGAGAGAGAGAGACAAACTGTGTGTGTGTGTGTTTGTGTGTGATGCTGATCAGCACTGTGAATACACATATGGTTGCCTTAAAATTAAGGATTAATATCATTTATTTGCCTTGTAGGTTTTGTTCAGGTAAGAGAAATTAATCCAGAAAATGTAACATTTGACAGTGTATAAATGAATACTAGGCACTGACCAGGTTCTCTCCCCATTCGGTCAAACTGTAGTCCACAGTGATCTCCTCCCCCTTGGTGATGTCTCGGATGGCAATAACGACCAGCCGCACCTGGCTGCCACAGTGGACCTCTCGGATGCGGCAGTTAGGGGAGGGAGGGAAGGAGCTAGCCGTTGGGGCCGGAGCAGAGGCTGTTGGAGCTGCCGGAGCAGTGGACGCGGGAGTCAGAGACAGGGCCTGAGCCGAGGCTGCTGTGGCGGGAGCAGGAGCAGGGTGTGGTGTTGGGGTTGGGGCGGTGGAAGCTGGTGTGGAGGCCGAGCAGGAGCTGATCTTGGATCCAGTGGAGTCTCTGTCATGAGCCAGCTCCACTGGACCACTGGGAGGTGAACAGGGTTCAGGATTCATCAGACAACATGTGCTGTTGGTTTATTTCAATTCTATTTCCAATATATTTTACTTTTTTAAGCTTGGACAAAAAATTCTTTACTTTGGCCTCTGGGTAATTCTGATAGGGATTTTGACAATTTTCTGAGATGTAACTGAGGAAGGATTGATTACTGAAAGTAACTGGCAATAGATTGCTCTACTGGACATTTTTCAATTACCTTGAACATTAGTGGTAATTGGAATCATAATGTTTTCTCTTTGTAGTTTCACTCTTGTAGTCACATGATCTATATATTGCTGTAGGGATCTGCTGTGCCCGAATGCATATAAACAGACAACATACTCACACTCATACAGACTCATGCCAGTATTTCAGGGCAATGATCTCAATCCTAGTCCTGATTCACTGGAAAGACAACTGCATTCTCACAGCAGCTAGGATATATATCACTCTTATCATGTAGCTAAAAGAAAAAAACCTTAGGTCTGGTGAATCCTGAGGACCAGGTGTCAGAGGTGATGCTCTCAGACAAGCTGTCCTTGACTAAAAATCAAACAATCACTCATCAAACTGAGCAGAAGAAGCAGCTTTTAAACAGACCTCTGATAACTATTTACATATAACTATTTCTGATTTACTATTTTTTCACCTGCACACACACACACACACACACACACACACACACACACACACACACACACACAAAACCAATATAAAACTACATGTCTACTCACCAGTTGTGGGGCACAGGCTCTGTGTTGTAGAAAGGTCCATCCAGTGTTGGCCGTTTATTCTCTGCTGCTTCCTTACGATCACCTGAGAGCACAGGAACAGTCAGTTTAAAAGGATTACATAGAAGTGTGCATGCACACACACACACAAACACACACACACACAGGTCATCACCCAATCTCCTGAAGCACATACACAGGTGCACATCACAGCACATATGTAAGGAAGCACACACATACAGTACACTCTCTCTCTCACACACACACACACAAAAACATGTATGCACAGAAGTAGGTCACACTTACTTGTACATGCTCCACCCCCATAACAATCTCACACACACACACACACACACACACACACATACACACACTCACAGTTGATGGCAGTAAGAATATGCTGTGCAGATATAACACACAAACACACACCTGGGCTGAAGCTGTGTTCAGGCACGCTCTCCTCCTCCGTGTGTGTAACAAAGACTTTCACAGGTGTCCCTTTCCGTTTCCTTCCGCAGCCACGTCTGGAAAAAATACACACACGCAATTACCATTTAATCAAAAGGTCAGTTGACCAAACCTCACATCAGTCAGGTCAGAGAGTGATCAATAAGCTGATGGCCAGCTAATGGATCAATGCAAACTGAGTTTAACCTTCACATATAAGCAAACAAAATATTAAGAAATTTAAAAAAACACAGCGACAAAGACACGGCAGTGAGACATTGAATATCTTAAATGCTCTTTACTGTCTATAGCTGAAGCATGAGTTAAGTCCATTGAATGGTTTTACATTTTAGTCTAAATGAAAACACGTATTTTTGTGCTGTCTTTCCTTACTACTCATCAGATTCAGAAATTAAATCAAACCCAGCATTAAAGTCAGAATGCTCAAAAAACTGCCCAAGAAGGTTTATTTGGTGGCTACAAACCACCCCAGTGGTTCGAAGTACCCTCTTCATTTTAGTGAACTGTCAAACTTTAATGTGTGAATGGGAATATTGTCCCGTTTGTACGCCATAGATTTCTACAGTAAATGTATAACCCTTAAAAAAATGTAAGTCATTATTTCACTTTTTTTTTCACTATTTCACTATTTCAAATTATCTGTGTACACCGCTAGACACACACACTAACAAAAACTGTCTGAATGAAAACAAAAAAACCATAACTATATGAATGGAACTGGGTATCATTTGAATGTTTGACACTGGTGCTGATAAGATAAGGAGACCAAAACATTTTTTTACTCTTCAATTTGTTGGCTGGAGGAATACAAACGTCTTTCTACAAAACTGGTAAAGTTATATCAGAAACCTTCTGATGGAAGAAAAGTAGCGTACAGTACAAACCATCACCAGACATTCAACGGCAGCTTTCGGCACTTGACAGGTTAATATTCTCAATGCAACAGACACACACAACAGACAAGTGGAGTAGTTGTGTGAGTAGAGTAATGTTGCTTATTGAAAACTTCCGTGTGAACAGTTTCATCACTTAAAGATTCAAGGAGTAGACGCACAACAAACTAAATCTATTTTCCACATTATTGAGACAGATCAACACTGAATCTATTTTGTTATGATTGTGTAAAAAGTCTTTATAATAACCACACTGACCATAGAACAATTTTGCAGTTTAGTTAGCGTTACTAGCCGAGTGCTTTGACCCCTGGATCACCACTACAGGAGTGTGCCATTACCCCGGAGAGCACAAACACAGCCACCTGTGTGAGCCTAGAATGGCTAGCAAGCATGATTATCTTCTTCAGACTAAATCCATGCTAAAACCACCACGCTCAGAATGAGCCACACGGATCCTGCCTCTGCCGATTCTGGGCTCGTTCTGCTACCACAGATCTCAATATTGTTTTCGTCAGTCTATTTTTTACTCACATGACATTGGAGGCTCTTAAAACTAGGCCATAGGAAGATCGTGCTTTGGATTTTGAAGTGTTCATTACTGTCTGTGTGGTGTGGTTGTGTGTGTGTGTCTGTGTGTATGTGGATGTGTGTGTGTGTGTGTGTGTGTCTGTGTGTACGTGTGTGTGTGTGCTTGCATGCATGCAGACAAGAGAAAGAACCAAAGAGGAGAAGAAAAAAAGGAAGGAAAAGAGGAGAAATAAAGTGAAGCAGCAGAAAACAGACAGAGCGAGAAAAATTGGAAAAAGAAAAGACAGACAGAGAGAAAACAGAATGAGCGAAGGGGGAGATACTCATTCAGCAGAGATATCCACCAGACCCACTGTCTTTGTATTGATCTACTCCAATCCCATCTGGACTAGTGATACCAAGCACGCATGTTTGTGTGTTTAAACAAGTGTGCACAAAGAGTGTGCACCTGCATTTATGCTCACATGTGTACACATTTTTTCTATTCCTCACGAGACGCTTTTCTCCTGTTCTGACCAAAAAAACCTTGACTTTGAGAATGTAATCCAACATGATGATAACTGAGAAACTGTGATAAAGCTCAAGTATTCAAATAATCAGTAACGTGTGAGAAAATGTCTACTTCAAAAAAAATGTCATCAGCACTGACAACGAAGACTTAAATCAAACTGTTTATCACAATCTGTAAAAATCACAAGACTACACAACAAAGAGCTCAACAGCCACGATAACACACTGATTATCCACAGCGGCCAACATCTTCAACACACTTGTGTCTCCATGCACTGTTGTTACTGATGAGTATTCTGGACTATAGTGTAAAATAAAAATCTGCTGTTCAGTAGCTCTTATGTAGCCACAATTCAAAGACAAACATAAGCTGCTTTCAGAAATACACTTAACTCCAGATATTTTTCTGACATCTGAGGAGCTGTAAGAAACTCCTGAGAATGTCCGAGTGAGCCCATGTGAGAATACAGCAGGATATTGTCCAAAGAATTTATCGTTAGCGTGTTCATATTATTTGCTGATGAAAATGTCAACTTAAAAAGACAATGGAAGAACTGACGCCAGGTTTGATGTGCTGTAAACAAAAACATGATTTCCACCGCAGAATTTACACGTTACATCCTCCCTCCTCCCTGAACAGATTTTCCTGCGTTGTTCAAGTATGAAAGTTTGGACAGTGACCAGACTTTCATACATGAACAACGCAGGACAATTTTTTGAACATTTTAGTTAATGCCTGATAACATCTATGTCGACAACTGAGCAAACTCTCTCTGCTGGGAATGTGAAAAGCAGGTGAAAGCTCTTGTAGCTTTCATGTACAGTATTGTTAAATCATTTATTTTGTGAAGCTATAACATGAAGTGGTCATATCATCACAAAACAGTTCCAGTGATGTTGAATTCTTTAATACAAATCACGAGGTTCAATTGTCTGCCACAGTTGTTCACACTTACATACATTACACAGACAGGCTGAACCAACCGTCCTAGGCTGCACTCCCTCTCCACAGGTCACAGACTTTTCCCAGAAAAACATAGTTTTCCTCAGAGTTTATATTTTGCTGGATTATTTTGGGTTTTCTGAGCGAGTTTGTGTCTGTGTGTGTTCAGTTCTGGTTCAGTGAGTTTCTGAGCACTTTGTTGCCAACCAAATCTGTCTCACCTCCGCTCCCTCAGTGAGCTGACCCTCAATCTCTCCCTCCATTTCTGTCACATTTTGTCTCACCCTCCAGATCGATTCTCTCATTCTTCTCTCCCTTCTTCCAGCACTCACACACTCACACACACACACACACACACACACA